TTTTGGATGAATTATGTCGTATAATTAGCGAGTTATTGATTAATTAGGTATGGGACACGCGGTGTCACTATGGAGTCATGAATCGAAACCGCAGTTTCAATCGATAAGTCTTCGGTCTCCGACCGATATTCTTGTTACTATTTCATTAGTGCTTTTTCTACTTTTTGTTGGGTGTTCGGGGTATTACTTTAAGAAAATTTGCATAAATTCTTCACAATAGGTGATTAAAATTATAATCAATTTAATTAGGTTATTGCTTAATATCGATTTTAAATATATAAATGAATACAAGAAGGCATTACGTTACCTGTGTGTGAATCGTCTTCTTCCTTTCCGGAAACATGTGGCTGATGAATAACAAGAAATTTTGCTCTACATTTTCTCGATGACCTCACACAATTTAGTAATTATCCCGCAGTAATTTGAAAATTAGAAATTTAAAATATTACATCATTTTCATTTAGAAAATAACGCTTTGCAGTAAAACAAAATTTATCAGAATAAAATTGAATATACTTTTCAGCATGTTTTAGAATGTTGAATTAATAATTCGATCTTTATTAAACACAAAGAGTAGATACGTCGTTACAATAATACTCTGACAAAATATCAGAATCTGATGTGAAATGAACCTAATATTCCATGATATAATATTCCATGTCCTATAAATCATTTTATGACTTATTTAAAATCATTAATCCAATATTATCAAACGAATTCAACAAATCCATGCAGGCATTTGTTTTCAACCATAACAACGTTAAAACTACAACTTAATTTACACTTTCCAAGTATATAGTGAAAATAATGTGGCCAAAAAGTAATTGACACACCGAACACATGAAATTGTAGCGTTTCAACCACCATTGAGTGGTACTTAATCTAAATGGTGCATAATTACAAACAACAACGTCAAATTTCTCATGACCTATTGCACATTTAGATAACAACGAGATTTGAAAATGAAAATACAATAGAGGTCATCCGCGATTGTGGGCCCGAGCAGAAATTGATGAAAGTTTCAAATTAAGATGAATTAATTAGTCAATTGTAATATAAAACGTTATTTTATTAAAATACCATTGAAATACCAATTTCATGACGTTTATTTAACGATGTGACATTACTACAGACAAATGTTAAGGTATTAGGGCATTTTAAATTTGGTTCACACGAACTAAACAACAATTTTTTATATAATAAAATATTTTCTCAACAAAAAACATATTCCATCAAATAATTCCAATCACTTCTAATTTGGGAAATTTTATTCTAAGATATCAACTTGATATTCCTTGCCTAACTGCAGCACATTTGATTCAATCTCTTTCGTTAATTAAACAAATATGTTAAAAGTTAAAATTAAAAAAACTATGAGCATGGGAATGTGAGAAATGATTTAAACAAACCATATGTACTCGATCCAAAAACATTCAACCATACTGGTAAATGGTAAAAATTAATGATTTCTATTGTGTGGCATTTTCTCAAACATGAAAATGTATTCTCACGCAAAGTGACTTGATGTTACGCTTGCGTGATTGATAAAATTTGTACGTTTCTGGAAATCCATGATTGGATAATGCCAAATGATTGCCCAGATGACTTCACACAGCTTCGTATTTAATATGCAACTAATTTGTGATCATAGAAGACGGATTGATAATGTGACATCATATTTTGGGCATATAAGGTTGAAATTGAATCTCATAAGGCATTTCAAGTTAATTGTTATAATTGAATTTTCGTTTTTGTTTGATTTGTTTGTCAGAGAACTTTTGATTTTCATTATAAAGAATATTTTAAACTAGGTAGTACACAATTTAATCGTTTACCAATACTGATATAAATCAAGAAGCTTTCAAATTTAGCTGTGTCATTAGAAAATGTGCCTCTGAGTATAAATTAATTAAAAGATTATGGAAACATTTAAGAAAATCAACAATTGAATACATAATTCTATTGATATTGTTTGCAGAAATATTTAAATTTTCATCATATATATTTTAAATAGCTTTTTTATTATATTATATATATTATATATTATTGGCCATAAATATTGGGAGTGTTAGAAAAAATAGAGAAGAGCAATAAAAAGAATTAAGAATACAAAATATTCGAAGTTTGCCAACAGCCTTCTAACAAGGTAGTTTATCCTTAAGTATTAAATTTTGCGTAAAGTGATTTTTACAACATTAACACAACAACAACAACAATTTAGCTAAACTGTAGATTGCTCCACTTCTTGTCTAATAAATATGTTACATAATTTTAACGTACTTTTAAGTTACTTCAAATGTGTTATTAATAAAATACATTATGATTTACTTGAATTTCAACTTTGACATGCTCTAACTTTTATACGCTACACTTTCAAAATTCCGAATATAATGATGCTTGCAACATGATGAGCTGTTACACACCAATTTTACTCATTATAATAAAGATTTTTGATGGTATTTCTATTCACCATTATTATGGAATGCGTTTTTTAAACAAATATGTAATTTCCTTAACATTTTCGGTGAACATGAACAGAAACTTTCAAAAATGTTAGACGATTTTCTCATTATCGGATTAACTCACTGAAGTTCAAAATAATTTGGTTTATATGAAATAGAAACAGCACGACACAATTGATCAACAGTATAATGTAAGTGAGCTGTAGTTCGATTTTATCGGTTTGGTGGTTATTTTATGTTATACGATACCACTGATACGTATAACTAAAACTATCAAAACAGAGATATTTTTATCACAATGTGTTTAAAAATAGAAACAGTGATTGCAACAAACTAGAATCTTTAGCCCACGTTTTCAAAAATGAATACAAAATCAAATTTTCTTAATCTATTTTAAACAGAATTTTTGTACGTCTGAATAAGATAAGAAATTTATTAGATAAGAAACAAATATAAAATTACATATTTTGCAACCTTGGGCTTAGAATACACAAACGCGTTTTCACCCATTTTTTTTTTGTTTCGTTGTAAATTAGGCAATCCATAATATATCGAAATATATAAGGATAATATTGCACTAATCGCAGTAAAAAAAATAATTTTTTTAAGCTTTTGACTCAATTTATGAATTTATATTTTTCATTAGCTAAAACTTGTTAAGCTTTCTCGAAGAAGAAAGTAAGTGTATGGCATGATATTAAACAATTAGAAAAATATTTGATACGACTTATACGGATTTTAATACCTACTTAATGGTATCATTACTTTAAGGTGACAAAATTATAGTGTGTGAAATAAGTTTCGTGCATAATTATTTTCGTAAATAATAATTAGTGTTTGGTTTCAAAGCACAACTTCATTTCTAACCTATTTTTTCAGAAACTTTTGAATTTTAAGTAACAAATCTGTTTACCACATATGTTTAAAAAACAATAAAATATTGTAAAATAAACAATTTAATTTTTGTATTAGTAGTGTTTGTATTATACCATTGCCCTAACCAGATTCTGACTAAAATGTAGGCTGGATAACTACGATGTGGTTACTTTCTAAATCTAATTATATAAATTAAAACTTACTCAATCTCATGGTAATTTGTAAATGAAGTCATTAAACTCCCGCACCTGCTAGAAATGAAAATCACTTTTCGGTAACTCAAAAGAAAAGTATTTAATCTGAGAAAGATTTGGTTTTGGTTTATGAGGTAATTTCCTGGTTTTATGGTTTCAGCCTTAAAACCGCAATCTAATATATGACGTAATAATTTTTATGTGTATCTCAAATTCATTCCAACTGTTACAACCATATATGGTAATAGGTAATTTATGTCTAGCAAAATAAACAGACTAGATAGTTTCATCTTTCATACTTTCATCTTGTGTTCAATTAAGTCTTTTCAAAAAATGCTGTTAAACATTATAGCTCGATTGGTAAAAATGTGGATGTAATAGCACAAGAGACAGGTTTATACGTTTTTGCTCAACAGACATTTTATTAATTAGTCTAGTTAAATAACTAGTTCTGGAGAAATGGTCACATTGATGAAGTGACGCAGAACCTCGTTGATTTTCCAAGGTCTTGTTGCATCGCCACATGAAACGCAATTATAAGTCAAAATTTATTCTTGTTTTCCGATAGGCAATTTGTAATATTATGCGTATTCAACATATTTTGCAATTTTGGTAAAAAATAATTTGTTCGTGAATACTTAATATTTGCCCAATAAACCTACTGAGTTTATCACAACTTTATGATTGATCACAAACTTATATTTTCGCAAAGTAAAAACATTACATATTTATATTAAAAAAGATTTCATGTTAACCACTGGATGACTAAAATTGTTAGATGTATTCAAATTTTTCTGGTGTTAAATATATTTTCCATAATTTACCTTTCTAATAAAACATTAAAACGCGATCTGACAGCATTTGACTTTACCTTAAATATTATAACTCTGTCTACTTTTGGTCTATCCAAATTATGACCAAAATTACTAATTTCAAGTGGCAAACTCTAATATATAAAAGATTCATGTGTTAGTTGTTCAACTAAGCATTATCTGAACCTATTTCCAAAGACAGACAATACTTCCTGTCGCATCTTAATTAAATGATATAGATATGCTAGTGTAAAAAAAATTGACGATTGAAAAACCCTAATAATTTGTGACTGATTTCAAGATTTCAATTCAGATCAGTCAAATATCGGAATATTCAACTCAATTTTCACGGATTACCTGGTTTTCCACACCCTCTCAACATATTAACGAATATATTGTGTCTGTTATCAAAACGGCTGAGAATTTTACTTGTAAATCACGTCTTCTTATATAAAGATCTGTCAGACAGCACTACATAATCACTCCTATAAGAGAATTACTTGAATTCCCATGCAGTAGAGAAAAACAAGACAACGTATCAATAAATAGGTCAGTGTATTATTAAGTATATATAAAACATAATTTGAGCAAAATAGGAAAAATTGTATAAGATGTAATAAAAACATATACAAAAATTAAACAGTGAATAATCGAGCCAAATTTGTAAAAAGCACCCATTTAAAAAATAAAAATGAGAAAGGAAAAGAACATTTCACAGCTGCTAATTTTTGATATAACATTACAAACAGATTAAATAATTTAAAAAAGATTGTTTTGTGTGACATTTTACTTATATATATATACTTTTCAGAGCTAAAAGTCTCACAGTATTTTTAATTATTCAACTGAAAACAAATTTAAGTCAACGAGACACGTTGGAAGTGTATTAATATTTAGTACCTGTCTCAAAGTAACTCTAAAGAAAACTACCTTATTTGATAACTTTTTTATTTACCCTCTATTTCTAGTGATTTTTAAGCGACCATACATATTTATTATGCTAGTAATTGAGCTGTTGTGTATCAAATGAGATTCAGCTGTTACAGAAATATGTGTCATTTGTAAACCAGTTTCGATATTGTTTGTTCTCTTCGTTGGAAAATTCATTTTTTTTCTAAATTCAGCAATTCTATCAGCGTTAAGAGGATCCATCATCAATACAGTAGCGTTGAATTGAGAATTATCTTGATCAGTCGATGTGTTTTCATCGTAGTACGGTATATCGGCAACGGACTGAAAACCATTCTTTAGGTGAAATCGAACTGCTCGTTTACTGTGACTAATCATGAAGAGCATTGGTGAGTTTTCTGAATCTGTCAATCTCTTTATTAATTTTCTTGATTTTATTTCAGTATTTTCTTCGTGTTTAATTTGAAGTTGTTTCTTTTTATTGCTTTCTTGAATATTTTTTATTATTTTCAAGCATTCATTATAACTCATACTTCCACAACCTTTTCCTGAATATTTAGGATCAACCGCACAAAATATTCCATTCCATAACGGTACTTTAGTTGAACAAACATGTTTTGATATATTTTCATATTCCCATTCTTCATATCTGAATATAAATAATATAAATGAATAGAAATGAAATATCTAAATTAATTTCTCTTTTCTATCTCTGACAAGTAGAAAGCTGGCAAATCATAGAGTTATTTGAAAAGTCCAAACTTACTTTTCCATTCTTTCAAATGCTTCAAGATCGATGTCTCTCAATTTATATTTTTCATAAGCTTCGTAAAAATCATCAGCTTTTTCACATTCCCATCCTCCATATTCTTTAGATGGAGGAACAACCATAACTCCTCCTATAATTGTGTTCTGTATTTGATATAAAAATAAAACACTTAATAGGTTGAATTTTATTTTGAATTAGATACGAATAAACTCATTTAGTATACCGGTACTTACATTTTCAGACAATCTTCCAACTAAAAGTATTGAGTTTCCTTTACGTATAGTGACGTCATATATTGCTTCTAAATATCTTCTTAAAAATTCTGGTCTTGTTTGTTCATTTGGTATCAAGTATTTATACAAAGAATAATGATGAAAAGCTCGAACAAGGCATTCCCTGACTTCTGTCCAATCTTGTTCTCCGCGTGATATCTCAACTAAAACTTCACTGAAAAAATAAAAATTTGTTAATATGGAAATAAGTACAACTTACCAACATACATATATTTTTCATGAGGTTATAATTACAAAAAGTTATAATAGTAGATAAATTAAATTGCATACCTGCACATGTTAAATTTTGTTTGTGACTTCATAGTTTTTAAACTTCAATGTAATTTCTGCGAGAAAAAAATGTAAAACACTTTGGCCTCCAAATTCGATGGCTCGACATTCGCAACAACGCGCCAAAATGTTTAATGTTTCGTTCTCTGATTCCGACCTTTTTATATATCGATTTAATGACGTATTTTTTCTTCGTGAAATTAAAATGTCTCGACAAACGTAAATTGCATTTCCGAAAACGAGAGCTTGAAGATTTCTTCAATTACCGTTACCGTTCATTTCTATTTAATTATCAAAATGCTTTGCGTTCTAAAAATATACACATGATACTTTTGTGAGTCAGAATATGCTTAATGTTATTTCTGACGATAGTTCTATCTACCAAGCATAATTGAAACATACGTCGATTGTTTTTATTCTACTTGCTTATCAGAAAAAAATTGTGTCGAAATAATTCGCAACAGACCTCATGCCATGTTTTTTAATCACGTCTTTCAAATATACGTGAACAAAATACCTGTAATATAAACAAATGGAAGGAGGAATTGTAAAACAATATTTCTAGTTTTTAAACACATTATTCCTCAGCGAGAATTGATCAATTTAAATATTATAAATTTCTCATGTGATTCAAAAGTCGCACTGCACACTTATACAAATGATTTTTATCACCGAAGTCAGACATCAACAGACAAGTATATTTGAACTATGACAAGAAAAGCGTCAAGACTACAATTTCGGATAACTGTTGGACAAAGTTATCCTATAGCCACGGTCAGCAGACATCGTAGTCTTCACCCAGCATGAGCTCACGCTGTTGTCGAATTTCTAAAAGAATGGAGTAGATATGATCATTTCATTTAGTAATATTTTTTACAGAACTGCGGGATAACCATTATTAATGCACACGCTATCGCCTTTCTTGTCGTAAGACTGTCTGGGTAAGCTTGACCTCGGTCGGTCAGACAAAACATTACAGAAATAAATTGTGTTATTAAAGTGCAGCAAAACTGTTAATACAAATGATAGAGTCATCTTTATTCTTTCTACAACATATGTGCGCATACGTAACCACCAGTGCCAAGGCTGACAAAGGATCAGTAGTTAGTCTTGTTCAATTCCAACTGATAGTACGGTTTAGATTCATCATAAAACAAATAACATTATATAATAATATTAATAACAAAATATTTTTGATTAAAAATTTATTTTTATTTTTGGTTAATCATACACCTTTATTCTCAGCTCAAATTGAAAATATGTTTCTAAGAATACTGCTGAATCTTTTCTAGCATTACTGCATTTCTTTATTTATATTCCGATTCTCGATCTTGGTGAAAATTACTGTTATTGATTGTAATTGCTTACCATTTAGCTTAAGTACCAGTAAATATCATTTTAATTGATACTGCTGCAATCTACCAGTGCCTGGTAGCGTAAATTGATTTTTGGACACCGAGTGGACCTATTGAAGAATGTTTTTCATGAAATTGCTTATGGTAATTACTCCTGTGATCATTTTCGACAGCTCAACAAATATAAATTAATAGGATTAGTTGAGCATTTAAAATTATAAACTAATGATCACTTCAGACATCTGTTCTACTTCACTTTTCGTGACGCTTTTAGCATGGTTTTGCATTTTCGAAAATCGACAATCTTTTTTTGTAGATTTTAGATTAATACCACAAGCTTATGAGTTTTATAGTATTAACTATTATAACTCGATTAAAGTATTTTTAGAAATAAATCTAAAATATGTTGAGAGCTTCACATTTTATCTGGCGTCAACAATCGTGATTTTACAAGAATTAAGTAATCATCAAAATCACATTCCAGTCATTCAAAAAGAGTCTATTATAGCCGACTAACATTGTTACAGCTTCGGTACATTCAGAGATTTATTTCATATTCTTTTTATTTAAATACAGACCATGGAATATTTGAAGTAATAATTGGCTACAGAAATAATACTCAAATGTGGCCAAAATAGAAAAATATAGTTTTAGTAATTCCCGTGGTGTATATGTTGTGAAATATAGCAAAACGTCGTAAAAGTTATTTGACTTATTTTGACAAAGCAATGAAATACTGAGTGAAAGTCTGAAAGTTATTACTTTCAGTTTAAACTCTCATAAACAATCACAAATTTCTTTTATCGTAGTTACTTGATGCATGAACTTTTGTAGAATTTATCTAGATTGTTGAAATTTTTCAAAGCTACATTCAATAACCTGGTTTCAAGCACATTCCAAACTTTGCATAAATTGCAGAAAGTAAAGGAAGGAAACAGTGCATATGATAACTAAATGTTGTAGAGATGATATCAACGACTTTTTCATCACAACTGCCTGATACTTGCGAAATTACTTGTACTTTTTCGTACAGTATCTTTCATACATAGTTATTTTTTTTTCGCAACATATCATTTGTAGAATATTATATAGTATGTATGGCATAGCATAGTGGTACGCGGGATCTTTTTGAGTGGTACGCGAGCAGATTTGAATTATTGCAACAATTAACCTTTGGGTTGGCTAAAATATGCCAGCAACGCTTCATCTTCCTTACTGTGTGTATTCGCTGAACGGATGTTTCCCCAAACATTCAGTTTCCTTTCAATTATAACCAAGGAGTCAATAATGACGCAACACGTAATAAATGCAATTTCTGCACCCAGCCGCTCAGGCACTTTTTTCGCTCAAACAGATATTCAAGCATGGTTGCAAACATTGGCTGGTTTTTGTAGTTTTTAGAGTTATTTGTCAGTTTTCAGTTGTGTTTCAAAAAATTAATTGTGCATTAATTAACTTAATTATCATTATGTCTTCCGCGGAGCTTTACTTTAGTTTTAGTAATCAAAATTGAATCTCGCAAATGCTGCGATGTACAAGGCTAAACTTAGCTATACCAGAATCCGCAAACAGCACATGGTTAATTCATTTTAGTAAAAATGATGAAGTTTGCAATAGTAAAGTATAGGGGTATTTTTTCCGGGGTCAATGGTCGGGATAACGTCCGCAGCTCTGGTGCGCTATCAGTTCTTGTATTTAGAGATCGTCGTCGCCCGCTATTACCCACCTTAAATGAAGCGATATGGGCATGTTTTTGTCCGTTTTGCGTGTTACGCCACAAAAGATGTAGTGCCACATTATAGAATACTTCCATAGCACGTTTCTTGTGTCTTTTTCTCCACGCCAAAAAAGGAGCTTTGTCGGTGGTACGCGGCCATAGTAAAAAAGATTAAAGTGGTACGCGGTCGGTAAAAGGTTGAGAACCACTGTTTTAGATACTTGATTTGTTTGTTCACTATATCCATGACAATGTCTCAGCTCCGTTAGATTTTGTATTTGATCTGGTAAGAAAAGATTTGGCGCCGCGTTTTGATGGCCCAGTCGCATTGCTTACTTGTTTTCATTAATTAAGAGATATCTCGATTAATAAGTGTATGGTAATTTGGATTTTATCGCCATATAAATGTCGTGTAATTGACTTTGCTGAATTAAAATTTTACCCGTTTCTTAAAATTCAAGTATTTTTACGGTTTATTGTAAGTATGGCTTTAGGATGATTTTCCGATTGATTCTGAACTATACGGAATTTCCATATTTTCCAACAGTTTTATATTACTGTATGCACGTGCCGTATTTGATGTATGTGGCAAACTAAATTTATTGCGTCATCCTTTTTGTTCGTTGAATCAAATTATTGAGCTATTCAGTCTAATAGCAGAAATACCTCACCAGAAATACAACGCCGTTTCTAGTTTAATCCCCGAGGCAAATTGTTACTAATCATTGCTTACGAAATATGAAGGCATTTTATTCAGACAATTGTTTTCTTAAATCGCTTTTGTGCAAAAACAATTGCTGGGAATTAGTATTGCAATTACAAGCAGATTTGTAGATCATTGTACTGGTCTATGGACAGAGGGTTAGTGTTCTGCGGTAACTTATGTCATGATGTATAATATATACACAGGTTATGTTATGTAATGATATATATATGATGAAAATCGGATTGTGGAATATTATTTCAACAACCAGTGCATATCTGTGACAGTTATTCTAGTGACAGTGATCTAAAGTCAAACTGTAGTTTCTTTTATAAAGTAGCAACTTATATTTAATCATTTTGACTGTGGTTGTTGATTTATTGTAAATTAAACAATCAAGTGAAATAGGGCAATGCGAGTGTCTGAATACGTGTGAGCTAATGTAAGACTCGCAGGTTGCTCAGCGACAAAACGTTGAAGCCTCATTATGTATAAGTTAGATGAGATTGAGTTAGGCAAAGAAATATATGATTTAAGAGGATGACAGTTCATTACATAAAAAAAAATTGAATTGGGATCCTGTTATGTCCAATTCGCATTATGATAATATTACTTCATTTACGAAAAGTTTGTTTACAGCAATGCTTCTTTGCGCTACTCTGCAAGCTCCCGTCGAACCCCACCGTACTTAGCGGTTAAAACTAAGAGTCCAATCCCAACTCTAAAAAGAAGAAGCTAATGTCTTTTCTTTATTTTTTTCCCAACGTATCATTTGTAGAATATTATATAGTATGTATGACATAGCATACAACGTGTAACATATTCAATATATACCCAGAAAGCAACATCTATCGGTCAACGATACAATTTGCGAAGTAGTCAATAACTGCTCTATGTGTATAGCTTATGTTTCTGTACGTATTTGGTGACCAGAATAAATATTTGTCTCATCACGATATTCATTTCTCAGTGGTCGCGACAGTAGAGCAATTTTCTTATTGTTTATTTTCAATCTGACCCAAACTAAAAAATAGTCGACTGTGTGCTAATGATGATTTTTAAAAAAAATAAAAAAAATTTTCGAGACAGTATGTTTTAGATTCCTAAATTTTATTTCAAGTTTTTGGAGTTGATAATATTTCTGACTCCCACGTAAATATTATTCACTGGCTATGTTAGCTATATTGAAGTGAATTCAAACACTTATTGTTTTGAAGTGTGTGAATCCACATATAGGCGTAAGATTTCGAAACATTGCAAAAATAATTCCGTTCAATCAAACATTTGAGAAAAGGTTTCCGTTTTCCGTTTCCAACGTCTGTCAAAATATAATTGAAGATGAACTATAGAAAAAATATTACTTAAGCGTTTTTAACATGACGCATATTTAAATATAATATAATTTCCTGGTGCGCGTAAATAAGGCTCGCTTTCAAAAATGAATAAAGGAGCGATTTTGGATAATGTTTTGATATTAAATATAAGATGAAAGATTGAGCTGTTCACTTTTTTTATCAAAGCCTAATTTATGGGCAAATCAAATAAACTGATAGTCAATAAATTTGCAAGTTTGAAATATTTCCATAAATTATATTATGATTTGTGGGTCATTGAATTGGTATTGTCTGTATTTGAATATATGATATTAGTACTTGTCACCAGGCATTATTGCAAAACAATGGTACTAATAAAGTTATAAAAGATCTAAAGCCCTCTATTTTGAATAGTGAATTGGTTCCAGTGTGCATGTTTGAATTATATGAAGTTATCATATACCGCAGACTCATTATTTTATATACTTGATCTGTTCACTATATCCAACTGCATGACAATGTCCCAGGTCCGTTAGATTTTGTATTTGATCTGGTAAGAAAAGATTTGGCGCCGCTTTTTGATGGCCCAGCTGCATTGCTTACTTATTTCATTAATTAAGAGATATCTCGATTAATAGGTGTATGGTCATTTGGTTTTCATTTTTCCGGTTTATTGTAAGTATGGCTTTAAGGATGATTTTCCGATTGATTCTGAACTATACGGAATTTCCATATTTTCCAACAGATTCATATTACTGTATGCACGTGCCGTATTTGATGTATGTGGCAAACTAAATTTATTGCGTCATCCTTTTTGTTTGTTAAATTAACCTTTTGGGCTATTCAGTCTAATAGCAGAAATACCTCACCAGAAATACAACGCCGTTTCTCGGGGAAAATTGGTACTAATCATTAGTTACGAAATATGAAGGCCTTTTATTCAGACAATTGTTTTGAAGCGATGGACTGTGACAGTGGCAACTTATGCTGCCACTCAGGCTTTTGTTATTTTACTTATTCAGCATTTTTGCTGCTTGGCAGCGAGCTAAATCGGAGTGAAAATGACGCTTTTGTGCAAACAACAATTGCTGGGAATTAGTATTGCAATTACAAGCAGATTTGTAGATTATTGCACTGGTCTATGGACAGAGGGTTAGTGTTCTGCGTTAACTTATGTTATGTAATGATATATATATATATGATGATGAAAGTCGGGATGTGAAATATTATTTCAACAACCAGTGTATATCTGTGACAGGTATTCTAGTGACAGTGATCTAAAGCCAAAATGTAGTTATTTTTATAAAGTAGCAACTTATACACACAACTAAGCTGATATATTAGTTGTTGAACGTATAAGTTTGAATATCTGCGATGAACCAAAGTTATTTTTTGCATAATTACTAGGTAATAAAAACGTCTCATAACATGTAACTGTTTCTGAGGACCTTCGTCGAACCCATGAAACAGCTTCACCAGGGTTTCGATTGAACCCAGGTTAAGAACCACTGATTTACAGCGTGAAGACTGTAAAGACGTGAATAAACGAAAATTATTTTAGACCGCTTCAAATAAAATATATTATCTTTTTATATTGTTGTATTCACATTTTAGATATAAATTCCGTTTTTTTTTGCTATTTTCATTAGCTGAATTTTGAAAACAAGATCGGCATGGAACCCTGGTTGTCGGAAGGATCAGCAGAACTTTATGCAACGAATCCAATACATTTTCCAGACTTGGTGTATGATGTTGTGATGCAACATTTGAGAGAAAAGCGAAAATCAACTTCAGACAATAAATTTGATGTTCTTTTGGATGCTGGATGTGGAAATGGCGAAGCTCTCAGGAAGTTTCTTCCGTATTTTCAATCAGCTATTGGCTTTGATATAAGTGAGGAACAGATAACGTTGGCTAAAACCATGACTGACTTAGCAAAGACTAAATATTTCGTCGCTCGAGAAAATTCTATTCCTGCAGAAAATAATTCTGTCGACCTGTTGATTAGTATTGGAGCTGCTCACTATATGGATATTGACTCATTCGTAGCGGAATGTAAAAGAGTCCTTAAAGACGATGGATTGGTGGCATTGTCTTCTGCTTCTGTCTCCGGAGTGGACGTCCTGCTTCCACCCAGCAATGGAGAGTCGTCTCAATCAGTGTCAGGAAATCACATTCTTGAGGAATACTTTCTTAGACCATTGCATCAATACCACTCTAAAGTTAATCATCCATATCTGAAATGTTGTGATAATTACCTTGGCTTTTACAATGAAATAACTGGATTGAAAAAATATCAGGCCAGCGATATTGATTTAGAACACAATGTTTCTTTGGCAGAAATGAAGCAATATTTTGTTTCCATGCCCACTTACAAAGTTTTCAATGATCTTTTCGATGCTGATGTTGCTCCTCTTAAAGTCATGGGAGACAAACTGAAAGAATACGTTAACGAGACTGGAATATCTGACATCGACTTGAGATTGAAATTCAAAATCAAAGTCTTTTATATTTTTATGTGTAAATAAGTATACATATGTAATTTATATATTTATTTCTATATTCAGATCGCATCCAACTTGATTTGTAAAACGTAATCCGATTTATCTGGCCTTATTACCGCCTTACTTATGTGATATTTGCCAAAAAAAACAGAGGGTTAATTAGTTGGTTTCTGCGAGACTGACTATACTTCTCCTTTTCCTGGGCTTTTGTGCAGGAGGATCCGTATGCATATAATGCAATGATGCTGTAGCAAGAGTAAATATAACTATCCTAAGTGATTCAAGTGACTCTTGAATCACTTAAGAAAATTAGTGGTGTATGGAAATTTCAAAATTATTTCAAAATTGTGTGCCATTGTATGCTGGATCAGTTTACTTATTAGGATCACGGTTGGAGCAATGGCGCAAGATATCTCATGATAACTAAAGTAGTTACTATCGTAGTCACATTTTCATCTACAAAAGTATTTTCATCTAAAATTCATAATCTAATAATATACATAATCTTTCCCAAAATCCATCTCTGCAAACTGATCTCTTTATCATCAAATAAATGGTTTAGAGCAGGGTGGTCCAAGCTTGTCGGCTCCGCGGGCCACAAAATTATTTTTGCATCATTCCCGGGCCACAATAGTGCGAGGAATAGGTAAACAGTTCAATACAAAACAAACCATTTTATTGTGGAAACGCATTGATCAATTTATCGAACTGAAACAAGCAAAAACTAACTAAAACCTGCAAAAGTCTTACTGTATATATCTACTTTTAGTGTTACCTTTGTAACGGACAAACTGCTTCCGCAAATGTAAGTTCTTCCGAACATCGAGGGTAATTACTAATATAGGCAGCATTTTTGTAATTCTGTTTAGGCTGGTTGCAAAACAACACCCAACATGAATTATATTGTTAGACCATAACATTAATATTTAGTTATCAGGCAGAGCTAGGGTTACCATATTTTTGTGACCCTAAATCGGGACTCTAAAAATCGGAAATTTACCGATATTACGTTATAGGAGCCTATATTTAAAACTATCACGGCGGTCTTCATTGACCATATTGTCATCGCGAGTTCATGCGCTGCCTGTCTAAATATCGGTTTCAGTTCGAAAAATAGAAAGGAATTTACTTTAATGTTAAGCACCCTTTTGTCGCACGGGGCTCACACGTAACAAATTGTAGCAATTATCCGCTAACAAACAAAACCACACATCCCATTTCAATAAGTATGCTACAGCGACACAGTAACAACAGCATCGAGAACATTGCTAATATTCGTATATTATGCTGACTGTCTGAACGTCAAAGTGGGACTTTTGGCTGACCGGTCGGGACGCCGGGACACGACGTTAAAAAATGGGACTGTCCCGCCTAAAACGGAACGTATGGTAGGCCTAGGCGTAATCAATCTAGGCTAATAGAATCCGCACTCAATTTCAAGTTCTCTACAATACCAAAATTGTTAGCATATATTCTCGACCAAAAAGATAGAAAGCCAGATAACTTCAAGACTGCCAAGAACACCATTCCTCTTTGCTAGTTGCCTCAGCTAGCCATAACATTAGTCAATTCAGTTACATTAGTGATGTAACAATATGTCAAAAGATTATTCTAGTTAATTTAATGACGAAACAACACTAAAAGCGATTTTTTGATTACTCTCCGAATGCTTGGGCCTGGGTTTGGACCACCCTGGTTTAGAGGTTTACTTTGAAGATACCTATTTATTGAATATTTGAAATAGTAGAACTATGCATGTTTATGGGAAAAATACTGTTTATTTGTTATCAGAGATGAGATGAACATGATGGCTAAATCCGAATGTGATGCATTTAGTCATTATCCTAATCATTCCAAATGGAATTATGAAACTAAGGCCAGTTTGTAATATATATATTTACTATTTAGAGTTTAAACATTCAAATATGAAACTCTGAGCGTAATTGCGATGCTTAATAGCAAAACGGAACTGTATTAAAAATGACGTAATTAGAAATATATCCGTGGCGTTTTCCTTTTTTTTCGTTAAATGTGATGATCGAGTCAAAGTCATCAACAGCGTGCCACCAACAAGTAATACCACACTCGATCGAAATGCTACGTCATCGTAACTTTAAAGGATATTCAGCTAAATGTCGCATAGCCAAATTGAAATAACGTGAAAATGATGCGTAACGTTGTCAAATGTGAATACAAGCGTTTATTTTAATAAAAGCTGAGGTAAATAGTTCAAACTATATCAGTAACTAAATTGGTTTTGCATATTAGTCAAAAACTAATCTAAGAAAAAGGCAAAAATGGGAACAAAATTAAATAATTATACTGCAGAAGTTTATTTATCATTATTCAATCTTCATTACAGATTTCAGCATTATGGGTTAGCTCTTGTCAAACCAGATTTTAAAGTAGTACTTCAACATTATTTGAATAGATGTTTTCGCGAGTTTTTTATCAGCTACCAAGAAGTACTCGTAGACTATATACTTTTCAAATCCCAACGTCATGAAAACGTAAAGCTGTTGGTCGTGAAAGAAATCCTCTGTCACAAATTATTGTAATTATGTCAACAACCTTTCTAGGAAACTGAACGCTGTGTATAATTTTTTCACCCAAAGCAGCTGCCATGTCAAGTATCATTGCTATAAGTTTTAGATGCCGGTATTAGATTAGATACCTGTTCATTTTTATTACAGACCCGTGCTAATATTCACTTTGGCCACTGTATCTATTTGTTGAATTTAAAATTTTATGAAAAAAAACTTTGAATATGGTATATCTTGCTCTTATAATAAATTGCAAAACTATTTTACTCGCAATAAAATGTGTGAGTATAACGCAAATATTTTTTTTGGCATACAGAATTTTTTGAACAGATATGCAATACTTAGTAGAGATGTACCGATGTATCGGTATCGGGTATCGGTATCGGCAATATCGGTCATTTTTTTGGTATCGGCCATGTATCGGTATCGGTTAGATTAAGGCCGATATTACCGATATATTTACCTTTTTGATATGGTCCAGAATGTTTTAAAAGATAAGTTGGAATACTACTTTTTAATTTATTTTTGTCTGGAGAGATCGTGAGCTATGAGTCATACATGTCCCCACCCCCGCGAGAGAATAGGATTCACCTGTTTTTAGCTATTTATCAGCTAAACTAGCTCAACTAATTTGGCTATTTTCGCTGTCAAATTTTTATATTGACATTTTTAATATTACATAGTTTTTATGAAGAAATATATCAACACAGCACATAACAAAAAGCAACTAGGCGCCCAGTTTTAAATCATACAGTGGAATTGGGGTCCTTCCTTATTAACGGCACATGGACTTTTGGCACGGGTATAAATTCTGACTGTTTGTCGTCAAGTACGAGTGTCATTTAGTCCGTCGACATCGATAAACTAAATTCCGACACAATTATCCCACTACACAGGTATTAATTTTAATTCTGCTTAACTACACGATTTCTTTATAGATATATTGACTTGACCGCCTAGCCCTAGACTGTCTCAAAATATAAGATAGCAATTGTAAAATATTATAAAATAGTGAAGTAAAAAAACATCCTCAACGGTTATCGGTGGGCCTTCTTTTTGTCGGTGCTGATTGATATTCTTTCATGTTGGCTTTGACTTATTGCGTCGACGATTACGATTAGCCACTAAATTAAATATTTGTAAAATGCTTTTAATTTGGATGTAGGACGGCGGCGCTAGAATGTGTGGGTGATATTCGATATTCTTTTAAACACGAATAACGATATTCGAAGCTCGCAATATTAACATTAAATTCAAATTGGACATCTCGGCTTATGAGTTTTCTAATTAAACACCGAGATTACAAGCGTTACTGTACAATGTATCTTAATCAGTTACAGCATATGGATACCAAACATTAATTTCATATTATGTGATATATATATATCTTTTTTTTCGATCTGAAATAATGTGTACTATGAACAACGCTTAAAGACCATTGTTTTAACCCGTCTGCCCTACACAGCATACCTAATTAAGTAATAATTACATAGTATTGGTATCGGAATATCGGTAATATCGGCCTTTTTGTAGTATCGGCGTATCGGTATCGATATCGGCGTTTTTAGCTGGTATCGGATTGGTATCGGTATCGGCGACAAAAGTGGTATCGGTCCATCTCTAATACTAATACCAAGTTGACCAGTTACCAAATCTCGCTCCCAATATCGAGCCGACCAGATCCCATTTCCAAAAGTTGTAAATCCCCTTTTTTTAGTGACCGATTGTTTTCAAGTAAATGCATGGAAACGTCGTATGAAAAGATAAAATAAATGTTTGAGACGAAAATGTTCATCACCAAATCCCGCTTCAAGCATTTAAACATTTTGAATACAATTTATATGTTAAAAAATGTATTTATGAAAGTAACCCATACCCATCGACTCTAACAACAAATCGTATTTCGACGAGAATATGATATGCTTAACATTTAAACATAAAAACTGAAATAAATTTTTGGAAGGTCAGGTTAATACATAATTTGTTGCATATACCTTAGCGTACTTCTGTGAGTCAACATAAGTTATGCTTGGAAAACTATTGACCAGTTGATGTAAAACGTAGGTCATGATATTACCAACCGTTTCGTTTAAAAATGAAATGACGCAAAGATGAAGCCATAGCTAAAATTCGACCTTAAATACCGTTTCGAATTAAAAAGATATGTGACCAATGCGTGTCCATATAACCTGACTGTTACATGTACATGTATAATAAAGATACAATTATACAAATTAAATAAACACGTGCTATTTTTACGTCTATAAAAAAGTTATTGTATTTTAATAATTAGGTTTATAACGCTATTCATAATTTTAGGGTCACCAAACATTTTTTATTAATTAATATATATTTAAATTAATTTTGGAAACTATGTTTCAGATATATTCTTGACATATAAATTTCTAAGACTGGTGGAGGTGCAGGTTCTTATAACGCAAACTCAGGTGTCGTAAAATTTGAAATTTTATGTTTCGTGCCTTTTTAGACTAAACAAATCATTATTAAAATAATGTTTCAAAAAATTGAACTTAAATTGGAGTTCACTCTTGACTACGGGAAACTTATTCCTCCAAGTAGTCATAATCAAATATTTCCAATACCAATACCATTCGTCACTGGGAATCACTTACCATTTCCGACGATTACAATTGATTCAAACATTTTTCTCGAAAAAACAATTGCTTTTGCAGAAGTATAACGACCGTATAAGTAAGTTCACGTTAAGTTCGTGTATCTAAAAAAGAGACAACTTGCAATTGAGCACCGTATCAGTAAATGAACAGATAAACTGTATTTTAGTATGAACTATGTACTTAATTCGATGAAAATTACATTTGATTACAACATTCGAGTACAAATTATTTTGCAATTGAATGCAAACAAAAGGAAATTTTTTTTCTTTATAATTCGGACATAACTTAAAATTTAGTCCTAGTTGAGACCTTCAATATTTGTACAAA